CTCCTCTCAGTCAGTGTCTAGATGGATCTGTCAGGTCATCAAGTACGGTTACGACCACTCAGATGATCAGGTTCGGGCGTTGTATAAGGTGAGAGCTCATGAGATCAGAGCCCTTGCTGCGTCATGGGCCCTCCTCAATGGGTCCCCATTTCAGGAGGTCATGTCCGCGGCTTTCTGGCGCGGACAGACTACCTTCACGGATTTTTATCTCCGGTCCTTGGCTTCTCATTCTGATGGATTGTATTCCCTTGGACCTGTGGTGGTTGCACAGTCTGTGGCTGTTCCTCCACAGTAATTCAGTGATTTTAAATAGTATGCCATCAGGCACCATGGTGGTACACCTGCTCGTTTCACGGGGAGGTTTTCTATTTTTTAATTACTTTCGGGGCTTTATTAGGGGGGTTCCTTGAACCTTTTCCCTACCTTGAGCATGTCTCGAGTTTGTTCCGTCAGCCTGGTCTGCCTGGATTCGAAGCCTCCACTACGGTAAGACGAATTTGCATACTATAGTTATGGTAATTATTACTGAAATGAAATTGAGGTTTTTGAAGTAAAACCAATTTTCATGATGTAATACTTACCATAACTTTATGGAGTCCCACCCTGTATTCCTTCCCTTGCCTCCTCATCCTGGCTGCCTGGCTCCGTGGCTCTGTCATCTAGATATAGGTTACATCACGGTAGCTAGGGAGGTAGGGATATTTGAATCTTTTGTTTTTGGGCTACAAAGATGGGTGTAGGTATTGTATATGCATACTTAAGTTATGGTAAGTATTACATCATGAAAATTGGTTTTACTTCAAAAACCTCAAATTTATTATCTATCAGCACTATAAATAACCCATTTACTGGGACATATAGTTACTGCCACCTGAAATAAAAGCTTCGCAATAATTGGTTTGTGACGCACAACAGAAACCAGCGGGCTTGCCGATGAATTCACAAAGATAATCATAATTCCATACATGCAAAGAAAAAGTCAGGTTTATATAAAGTGGCAAAGTCATTTGTATATTTTATGTGTTTTTTAGTCAGAGGGAGAGATATATTCTTCAGCATATAAAAAATCATATATGCCTGAAAATCAAATGTCTCCCAGGACTGTCTTCGATAAGACAACCACATTGTTAGCCATGTCTGATATTCCAAGCATCGTAGATAATTTTGTAGCCTGCTGATACTAGCTGACAGTTTGTAATTACTTTGCCATCAACACATGTAACCAACCAGATCTTTGTTGCTGTCCAACTGTCAATGTTATCACATAACCAATAAACAACAATGTATTCTTCACTTGGTGGTGATTCAGAGGCGTCAGGGTTTAATGAAACAGCTGATTTTGAAGGTTTGGTAACTGTACTAGTGACTATTTCTAACATTCTCCAAAATGGCAATGAAATAATAAATATTGCCCTGAATTTGGTGGTAAGTATTATTCAATAAAGATATGTTGATGAATATTGTAATGCGTATATTAATTACTGTGGGAATGAATATATAAATGAATATGATAATGGATTTGTTAATGAATATTGTAATGGATATAGTAATGAATACATTGATGAATATGGTAAAAGTAAAATGTAAAGTTATGAATGGTCATAGGTATTGTAAGTTGGGAATGAATACAGCTAGGACTGAATACAGTTTTGTGAATGATTGAATATGTGGTTCATCAAAATGATGAGGAATGCATGCATTTCCACGAATGTGGTGAGGAATAATGTTTCGTATGTGTGGTGAATCAAAGAGTGATAAAGGCTAGTAAGTACTAAGTTTTCATGTTAAGAGATGAAACAGTTATGATGTAATATTTATATATTATGGTTTACAGAAACTTCATTGATATTTGAGATTCCTGTGTAAAACATCAATTTTTAAACCATAACGCTAAAGATGAAAGTACTTGTTCAAGAAAAAGTGGAACCCCTGGAGCATTAAATTCTGTGTCATGAGTGAGAACAATAGTTAGACTATGATGTAATATCCTAATTTATTTCTTTGAGATGAGAGCATGAGATTTTAAAAAAAGCTTATATAAAAACAAACAAGCCTGCTGTTTGATGTTCAATATAACTAAGCTGATTGATACTTTATGGCTAGTGTACGTTTGTGAAGTGACGCTTGTGGATTAATAATTGTGTAATATACTTTTATGGTGAATAGAAGTTCTCCCTGCTGACTGGAATTCAATCAGGAAAAGTTCAAAGTAAAATGTAGATCAAATGAATCTATCACCAAAACTACCAGAACACTATATACATATTCTTGTCTGTGGCTACAAATGTGATCCTGGATTTCACCACAAGTCTGACTACAATGATCCAGTTTGACTTTCTGTGTGTGACTTGATGAGTGATGCAGGTTGTATTTTTAGCCCACCGTCATCTGATGGGCTATTCAAATCGCCCTGCGTCCGTGGTCCGTGGTCCGTCCGTAAACAATTCTTGTTATCGGTATTTCTCAAGAAGTGCCAGAGGGATCTTTCGCAAATTTTATATGCAGGTTCCCCTTGGTCCTTAGCTGTGCAGGGCAATTTTAGAGACTGATCGGATAAACAACATGGCCGACAGGCAGCCATGTTGGATTTTGATAGTGAAAGTTTGTTATCGCTATTTCTCCGGAAGTACCAGAGGACTCCTTCTCAAATTTTAAATGTTGGTTCCCCTTGATCCCTCGTTGTGCATGTTACATTTGAGACTGATCAGATAAAAACAAAATGGATTAAAAGAAGAACTAAACAGATCTTTCTCATATTGCAATGATCAATTCTATTTCTTTCACATTAAGTACTGTACTAGTAAATATGCGAAATGACAAACTCACTTTGAAGGTTGGCTTTCATACACATCAGTATTAAGTTTAGATCAAAAGTTACCTCAAGGTGCATTTACTGTTAACATGACTCGATCAAACAGATTAGAGAAAGAAGGAAAAGATCGAACTGACAAAGAACTAATGAAGATGGTACAAAGGTGGGCACCAAGATCCCTCTGGAATCTTTTGTTTGTCTATAAATACAATAATCATGTTTTTTTTAGAACTCCACAGTTTTATTGCGAGCTTGATATTTTTTTCTACAGTTTTGTAGACCTGATTGCAGAATATACCCCTTTATTGACACTGTTGCGTCAGTCCAAATCAAAACTTTTTTTCCGCAATCCTGTGACAATTTTTCTCTGTGATCCTCTTCATGATAAATGTTACGCTTCTCGGCTACCTTTGTCATAAATTCTCCTCATTGTGTGTCTCAATATTTTGACATTCAATATTACAGACGATTTGTTGGAATCGTTTATCAACACAACCTGTAAAGGACTTTATTACAGGTATCATGCACAGACCAAGTTGGAATACTAATCATTATCAGGTGTCAAGGACATTAGTGTCTAATTGACAGGTGTCAAGGACATTAGTGTCTAATTGACAGGTATCAAGGACATAAGTGTCTAATTGACAGGCCATTTCTGATGGTTACCAGAATCTGATCACATGTACAACTTACCATGTTAATAAACTAAATATAGACAAAATCCATTGAAGGGTACATGGAATATCTTTTTTACATTTAAATAAGCCGTGGTATGGTGTTGTCTGTCTGTTTGTCATGTAACGATATTTGTCCACAGATCTTTTGCCCCATCTTGAGACCTGGTGGACTTAGCTCTACTCTCATTTGGATGATTTTCCCAAATCAAAGTTTTTATTTGATATGCCCTTTGTTTATTTTGACATGGAAATCTTTTTCAGAGACCCTCTCCCGCTTTGTTTTACTTATTTTCTTGAAACTTGGTAGACTTATTTCTCCTGTCATCCAGTTGATTTAAATATGGGCAAAAGGAAGCAATTCCTTTACAAATAAATGTTATTTTTATAATGTTATCAAAGAATTAATCCAGACATATACAGTTATTCCTTCTGCTTAATTGGGTAGTAAAGTACCATGTGTTTTCTCCTTTCATAACATTGCAGAATTATTAAACTTTACAGAGTAATACAGTAGAAATGTAGTTTCGTTTTGACACATTTTTCAATAATTTCGTACATCTTAATACAAGAATATAAGTGTGTCAGTTTGGCATTGTACCAGCATTTATTGTTCCTCCCCCTGCAGTTCCCTTGTTTTCAGTTGTAGCCGTTTTTCCTACAGAGATACAACTTATAATTTTATTTCGTTAACTGAAAGGGAACAAAATATCTTTCAAAGCCAGGAGAAAATTTCAATGTAGATTAAGATGGTATTAGAGATATTTCACTTGAGGTAGACAGTTTTTTAAGCATGTTCAAATGGTATGGCCCAATTATATATCCAACCTTTTCCAGGAAATATTTTTGGCCGGATTGCAACGCAACCAGGGCTTATAGATTGGCAATTTCCGTCTGTCCATCCGTCTGTCTGCACTAAGGTTGAGAAGAATGGTTAAGCTCAGTTTCCAAGTTATGAATTATCCTATATCAATTAAACTTGCATGACTTATGTATCTAAGGATGCTAATCACATGCCATGCTTCGGGTGCTGTTTCTGACCTACATTTTCCACCTGACTGACTAGGTTGAGGTCAGACCCCATCTGCACTATGGTTAAGAAGATTGGTTTAGGTCAGTTACCAAGTAACTACTTGTGTTGTATGTACATCAACTAAACTTGCATTGCTTATGTATCTAAGGATGCTTATCACAAGCAATGCTTCGGATGCTGCTTCTGATCTACATTTTCTGCTTCAGCGACCAGGTTAAGAATATTGGTTTAGGTCTGTTACTAAGTAACTACATGTTGTACACCAGCTAAACTTGCATGGCTTATGAATCTTCAAGGATGCCTATCACTGTACATGTGATGCTTTACATTAAAATGTACTGTAACAATCCGGCCATATCGCCATTGGCGGTTTCTTGTTTTATATTGATCCACAGCTGTGTGTTTGAGAAAAAGGTAACCACCTTACATGCTTTGCACTGCCCCATTTGTGTATTGTAATTAGTGAATTTTGTTTTTTAAGGTGATCTTTGGAACTGGTGATGAATTGGGAGCAGTAACAACTACAGCAAATATGGGCTTTGTGAGGGCTGCAGAGCACCAGGTTTGTATATAGTCATACTAGATATTAAACTATAGTCACACTGTATCACTGAACAATTAGTCACTCTTAATCACTGAACATTTAGTCAAACTGTATCGCTGAACATTTAGTCACACTTTATCACTGAACATTTAGTCACACTTTATCACTGAACATTTAGTCACACTTTATCACTGAACATTTAGTGATATTTTTTTCCACTCAAAATAAAGTCACAGCTTAGTCACACTTTATCACTAAACATTTATTTAAACTTTATCTCTCAACATTTAGTCACACTTTATCTCTCAACATTTAGTAACACTTTATCACTCAACATTTAGTGATATTTTTTTCCACTCAAAATTAAGTCACAGCTTAGTCACACTTTATCACTAAACATTTAGTTAAACTTTATCTCTCAACATTTAGTCACACTTTATCTCTCAACATTTAGTCACACTTTATCACTCAACATTTAGTGATATTTTTTTCCACTCAAAATTAAGTCACAGCTTAGTCACACTTTATCACTAAACATTTAGTCACACTTTATCTCTCAACAATTAGTTACACTTTATCTCTCAACAATAAGTCACTCTTTTAAATTCAACATTTAATCACACTTTATCAATCTACATTTACTAACACTTTATCATTCAACATCAAGTCACACTTAATTACTCAACATTTAGTGAATTTTTTCACTCAACCTAAATGCTCACTATAGTCACAAATTATCACTCAACATTGAAACATACTTAACACATACTTATCAAACTTTAATCATTCACCATTGCATCACACTTTATCACTCAACATTTAGTCACACTTTATCACTGAACATTTAGTCACACTTTATCTCTCAACATTTAGTCACACTTTATCACTCAACATTTAGTCACAAATTATCACTCAACATTGAAACATACTTAACACATACTTATCAAACTTTAATCATTCACCATTGCATCACACTTTATCATTCAACATTTAGTCACACTTTATCTCTCAACATTTAGTCACACTTTATCTCTCAACATTTAGTCACACTTTATCTCTCAACATTTAGTCACACTTTATCACTCAACATTTAGTCACACTTTATCTCTCAACATTTAGTCACACTTTATCACTCAACATTTAGTCACACTTGATCTCTCAATATATCTATAATCACATCATATATCAATGAACATGTAATATTGAATTGCTACTCATTCTGATTTGAAAATATGTTAACAATTGAAGTACTTTACTCAAAGTTTGAGGAGAATTTGTTAGTGGTAAAATCTATGTCAAGTACTCATTTCCTTATGGTTTGAGGGCAGTGCTGGTAAAATCCATGAAAATTACTGATTTCCTCATGGTGTGAGGGTAGCTGTCCTGGTATAATGGATTTAGTCTACTGCACCACTTCACTCATAAAGAACATTATGTAGAATAAATGTAGAAGTCTTGTCTTGCGTTCTTTCCTTTGAGATTAATATTCTGGCTTTTAATATATCATGTTTACCTCAAGCGGTGTAGAGTTGTCAAGTGACATCAGGTGGAAAATCAAACACTGGAGAGATAATGTACATTGATACACCTGTTACCTATACAGAATATTACCATAAATACTTTATACGCTATACTGGGTAACCATTGAAAACTTTGACCTGCATGTTGTTTCATTTCGCAAATTAGTTGAGTTAAACATACAAAATCCAATAAGCAAAAGATTCTATGAATATCGGTCATGTAAAAAATGTCCAACACCCAGAAATAAGAAATATCCTACCATTACGACAGTTTGTACCAGTGTAGTTCGATAATCGTATGTGAAGACCATGATTACCTTAAGTACAACCTTGACGCACTTAATAAATAGAATTACAGTCTGCTGTCTACATCTAATCGTGCTTTGTATTGTTCTGTTTTATGTTTATAATTACTGTGATTGATTCAAGTAAATAAACATGTTCTGGTAACAATCTGTTGCTAAAAAACAGGCTAGGTTTTCTTGAGAAAAAAAAATCATATTTTTATCAAAATGAACATCAATCAAAAATGAGTTTGTATAGTGTCATACAAAATTTGAAATATTGCTTAAGGCACCTTAATGACATGTGTAATAATATTTTAGGGTTAAACAAGCGTATTTAGAAATGTGAAGCATATAAATTTACATTTAAATTTTTCAAAGAATTGCATGCATACAGTTGTGGGATCGCACAACGTTACACGATATGCGGTGTGCGTACGATGTGTGCACGGTGTGTGAACGATGTGTGAACGATGTGTGCACGATGTGCGAACGATAAAAAGTTGAACAGTCATTGCTTGCGCACATTTGTGTGCACGATGGACGAACGATGTGCGATAACAATCGTGGTTGGTGTAAATTGAGGAATGCCTCAGAAATTGTGTTTTCAGTATTTTTTAAACGACCTTAATCGACACATATGAAATTACAACACAGTCCCGTAAACAGGTAAACATAGCCACTTTGTACATGTACCTGAACCGTAGTTTTCCCCCCCCGGGGCGCTTACGTATTTCGTCGGGTAGGGCCATAGGTGTGAAATCCCAGGTGAAGGGGAGCTATAGGCAAACCGAATGCAAATAACAAATACTAAACGTACGGTATCGCATATCAGCTCTATGTGTCAGGTATACGTACAAGCCAGGTAAAACTCCGGTCACTCATCAAATTGTTATTTACCTGTTCTGTTACCTTGGAGCCAAACCCATTCAATGGTCACTGTAATGCTGTGTTACATGCATTGTAAAACTGTACATAATCTTCATGACTGTGATGAGAAATTACAGTAATATATACAGTTTTCATTATTGCATACTAGCTTTCCGTATTTGTTTCATTCCGTAATATTGATCTACAAATTGTACCAAATCGCACAGTTGTGCGGAGAGAAGCGCACAGCGGGGCGAACAATTGTTAAATCGCACAATTGTGCACACCATGTGTGGACGACGGTGTGTGAACGATGTATGCACGGTGTGCGCACGCTATTTTTGGTGCGTTGTGCGGTCACACAACTGTATCATGGTTCTTCATGTGACTTTCTGATATGGTGTCGTCGCTATCGACTTTCTGATATGGTGTCGCAGCTATCGACTTTCTGGTATGGTGTCCCAGCTATCGACTTCCTGATATTGTGTCGTAGCTATTGACTTTCTGATATGGTATCGCAGCTATAGACTTTCTAATATGGTGTTGTAGCTATCGACTTTCTGATATGGTGTAGCAGCTATCGACTTTCTGGTATGGTGTCGCAGCTATCGACTTTCTGATATGGTGTCGCAGCTATCGATTTTCTGATATGGTGTCGCAGCTATCGACTTTCTGGTATGGTGTCGCAGCTAGTGACTTCCTGATATGGTGTCTTACCTTTCGACTTTCTGATATGGTGTCGAAGCTATCGACTTTCTGATACGGTGTTGTAACTATCGACTTTCTGATATGGTGTCTCAGCTATCGACTTGATGATATGATGTCATAGCTATCGACTTTCTGATATGATGTCGTAGCTATCGACTTTCTGATACGGTGTTGTAACTATCGACTTTCTGATATGATGTCGTAGCTATCGACTTTCTGATATGGGGTCGCAGCTATCGGATTCCCGATATGGTGTGGCAGCTATCGACTTCCCGAATGGTGTCGCAGCTATCGATTTTCTGATAGGGTGTCGCAGCTATCGACTTCCTGATATGATGTCGCAGCTATCAATTACAGTAATATATACAGTTTTCATTATTGCATACTAGCTTTCCGTATTTGTTTCATTCCGTAATATTGATCTACAAATTGTACCAAATCGCACAGTTGTGCGGAGAGAAGCGCACAGCGGGGCGAACAATTGTTAAATCGCACAATTGTGCACACCATGTGTGGACGACGGTGTGTGAACGATGTATGCACGGTGTGCGCACGCTATTTTTGGTGCGTTGTGCGGTCACACAACTGTATCATGGTTCTTCATGTGACTTTCTGATATGGTGTCGCAGCTATCAGCTTTCTGATATGGTGTCGCAACTATTGACTTTCTGATATGGTGTCGGCGCTATCGACTTTCTGATATGGTGTTGCAGCTATCAACTTTCTGATATGGTGTAGCAGCTATCGACTTTCTGGTATGGTGTCGCAGCTATCGACTTTCTGATATGGTGTCGCAGCTATCGACTTTCTGATATGGTGTTGTAACTATCGACTTCCTGATATGGTGTCGCAGCTATCGACTTAATGATATGATGTCATAGCTATCGACTTCCTGATATGGTGTCGCAGCTATCGACTTTCTGGTATGGTGTCGCAGCTATCGGCTTCCTGATATGGTGTCGCAGCTATCGACTTCCTGATATGGTGTCGCAGCTATCGACTTTATGATATGATGTCGCAGCTATCGACTTCCCGAATGGTGTCGCAGCTATCGATTTTCTGGTATGGTGTCGCAGCTATCGGATTCCTGATATGGTGTCGCAGCTATCGACTTCCTGATATGGTGTCGCAGCTATCGACTTTATGATATGATGTCGCAGCTATCGACTTTCTGATATGGTGTCGTAGCTATCAACTTTCTGGTATGGTGTCGCAGCTATCGACTTTCTGGTATGGTGTCGCAGCTATCGACTTTCTGGTATGGTGTCGCAGCTATCGGATTCCTGATATGGTGTGGCAGCTATCGACTTCCTGATATGGTGTCGTCACTATCGACTTTCTGATATGGTGTCGCAACTATCGACTTCCTGATATGGTGTCGCAGCTATAGGATTCCTGATATGGTGTCGCAGCTATCGACTTTCTGATATGGTGTCGCAGCTATCGACTTTCTGATATGGTGTCACAGCTATCGACTTTATGATACGGTGTTGCAGCTATCGACTTTCTGATATGGTGTTGCAGCTATCAACTTTCTGATATGGTGTCGTCGCTATCGACTTTCTGATATGGTGTCGCAGCTATTGAATTTCTGATATGTTGTCGCAGCTATCGACTTAATGATATAATGTCGCAG